CTTCCAGCCAATGGTGTCAATCTGACTAGTTGAACCATTATGCTGACTACAAGGGAAAAAAATTAGATTAACACAATCAGAAAATACTGCCATTCAAAAAACAAGCAATTCCATATTCACAAATATTGGAATATTATGATGTTATCTGCTGAATATTTTATTCAGCAAGTATCTCATCTGATGTGATTAAAATGTTACAGCTGCACCTTCTTTTAAGATTCTTTTATTGACTTTTACCATAACTACAAAAAGAATTATGCCTTTGGGGAATATCTGTTCACATGCACAAAAGAAGCAACTGAATTACTAACTTGTTTTTTTTCTGAACCATCAACCTATCCCCATCTTCACTCTATAGAGGATTCATTGCATTGATTGGGAGAATTCCTAAAATTACATGGAAATATAGCTTCAAGACCATGGCCTTTGCTTTCCTTTACTACCAGAATTATAGCGTGTACCTTGCCATATCGGGGTGGACATGACTACCAGTCTCTGGAAAGGTAGCTTGTGAGCAGCAGAAGAATTGAGTTTCAGCAACAATAAAGCTTTATTGGTTTCAATGTTTCTAAAAATACAAACATACATAACTCATCCATACCCACTGACATATTTCCTGCTGAGAGTTGAGATCAGCCGGGGTTCAGGGAAGGCAACTCTGTGGGGGTCCAGATGTCTCTTCAAAAGAGAGACATTATACATATATTGTCTTTGCTAGCAAAATTGTCTATTACATATTCCGTTTCACATCATCTTTTGTTGAGCCACTAGGTTACTGTTATTTACTGGGTCAAATATGACTTGCTACATGGAAGTTAGTTGTTAACTTATTTATACTGGTTGCTAACCTCTGGTCTTTGATCTTGATGAATCATGGCAGTTCCCACACCATCAGACAGAGGCAATGATATCTCCAGTATGGCTCCCACTAATGTCATTTAAACAAGACTTAAAACTTGATTCTTACCCCAGGTTTTAGGCTAAAGTGAGCAGTATACTCCTTGTGGGATGATGTAGTTGTTAGGACTTGTGCTATTTTTCCAGACATCTGTTTTCTGGAGGTGGTGACGGAGGTGTTTGTATTTCATTATTTTAAATTATGTCATATTGTATGCTGCCCAGAATCATAACTGAGTTAGATGGTTAAATAAATAAGATGTAAATAAATAACTTTCCAGTCTCATGCATGATCTTAGCAGGTACTCAGCTGCAGACACCATTCTTCCATTTCCAGGCAGTTGTTAAAGTTGTTTTCTTCTCACATCCCATCTGCCTATTAGTTTTAACTATCAGTAGTGACTGGTTGCTTGCTATCACTCAACATTTAGAAAAAGGTCAAATGAAGTTGTTTCCTACAAACGTACAGTGCCTACTGAATATATTCTCAAAGGTTGGAAGCAAATTGCAACTGGAATAACAATCCTATTTGCATTTAGGGATATGTTCATCATCTGCCCTTCCTGCCATTTTGTTTTGAACAACAATCTCAATTATTTTTGATTATCGCCATAGCTTGTTTAAAGTCCCCTCTGTATTGGGGAATCGCTGAGAGCTTAAAAAGTTTTGGATCTGAGAAACTGGATTAGAATGTCTCAAACTTGGCCACTTTAAGTTGCATGGACTTAATCTCCATGATTTACTAGAGAATTCTGGAAGATGACATCTACACATCTTGTGGCTGAATTGAGAAGCAATGACCTAGAGCCATGAATGTCCCACACTTTTCTAATTCTCCCATCATTAAACTATTTGTTCGTAGAATGTTTTCTGTGGTTCACCTGGTTGGGAATAAACCCCATTGGACAGAATAGATTTGACTTTCCAGTAAAATAGTCGAAGGATTGTACAATTAAACCTGAACTGATATTGAACATTCAGAGTTTCTGGAAAACAGCTTAACAAAGCAAAGCACGTAGGAGGTGGTGTGTGGGGGGTTGTGAGAAAAGATTTGTCACTATTCCTTGAAATCATTAAGATACTTGATCACAAAGGAAAGATGAGTTTGCCTCCTGCTTGGCCATCTGGATAGGGATGAAAAAGTAGTAAATCAAAAAAGTGAAAATTCTAGGAGATGAGGGTCATCAATTTTCAGAGTGCTAATAACAGAAGTAAATTTAGATGCCAGAATGAAATCTTGCTTGCAATCTATACCACTTTTTCCCTCCAAACTGTCAGTGCATTTGAGAAAATGCTTTTAAACCCTAGTTTAAAAGCTCTGAAATCTAATACCAGTGTAGCTATTTACGTTCCATTAATGAATTAGCAGCGCTTTTTTTTTTATTCTGCAGACTAAAATAATACCTAGGCTTCAGAATCTGTTAGTACAGACCCAAAGTAAGGATGGAACACAGCTAAATCTCTATGTATATTTACTTAGAAGAAAATCCTAGTGATTTTAATCATAATTACTCCAGTGTAATTTTGCTTAGGAACAAACTCTTTAACTACCCACTTCATTAAAAATAGAGGAATAAGACTTTTCAACATATACTGCATATAAAGTTAATCAGGGTTAATCAATGAGTTTAATCCAGTCTTCTCAATTTGGTGCCTTAGAGGTGCTGGACTACAAATTCAATACCATAACCTGGCAAAAGGCTCATCAGGAATTATGGGAATTTTACTTTAACATATCTGAAAGTTAACAAGTGTTGAATGCTGATGCAATCAAGAAATGATCCACTGTTAATAGTTCTTATTGCCTACTAATATCTACTTATGTGACACATTGGGTTCATAGGCAATCCCTTGAATTTTTAAACCAAATTCAAGGGGACAGAAGACACCAGAGTTAGGTCTTCTTACCCAATCAATCATCTCCATCTTACTGTTCTTCATCAGGAAACAATCTTGCAAGATGTGCCCAATTGCTAGGATTGTGTAAGCACATAGCAGTTAGACTGATGGTCACCCAGTAACATCAGCACACTCTGCTCATCACACAGCAGCTGCCTGCTTAATATCTGTGCATCATGCTGACTTTGATATCCCTGTCTCCCACTAGCTGACAAGAAAGTAAGGAAAGTAAGGTCTCTCCTGGTTGAGCTTGTCTTTTTTGGGGTGGGGGTTGGGGGTGGGGCTGTTTCATTATGTCTATCTAAATTAATATTCAGTATAAATTCATGACTCAAAGAGCCCACTTGAGAAAAGGAATACTATACAATCCTAGGGGACCTTACAAGGTAGAATAATGGGACCTGTTTCTTCCTTGAAGCATCTTTGCATCAGGTTGCATCTTCCAGATCAAAGAAAAAAATGTGGTCCTTCCTGAATATCTTTTATTTGCTCATTATCTGGCTATATATTATTCAGGATTTCCCAACCATAGGCTGTTTGTGTGTTATTTATTGATGGTATTTTAACATGTCAACAATGAATTAGTTTTTAGGCTGATGGCAAGAGGTATAAATCATTCAAACAACACTTAAAACAAAACAGTAAAAAGCAACAGAATGTATTACCAGTATAGAGGAAAAATGGCAAAGTAAAATATTACAAAAAGCTATTGTATGTACTTGTCCAGTAGCCTCAAGCTTTGTTGTTGTTTTTTTGCAATTCCAAGTCTCTTAGTTTCACTGAACATTTAATAAAAGAAAAACTCACCCCAGAATGTTATTGCAAAAATGAAACTGTCCTCAAATATTTGGTGCTGACTTGTAGAACAAGGCACAAGGCACAAACCCTGCCAAGTTGTCAAGTCCTAATAAGTCATGCAATAAAACACTGTTGAAATCATTAATAAAGCAAATATTACAGTTCTGAAGAAAGAAATTATTTATCCTCATGCATGATAAAGGTCCTGAAATTTCTGGGCTAACTTTATATTTCCACTGAATATTTCATGACAAAAGTACTTGCTTAATGAAGTAAGAGACAACAGTAGTAATAAGCCTAACAAAGAGCTGTATCGTGTAGTACTGTATAGCTTCCATACTAACTTGCTCACTATGACTTACCTTAAAAGTGCTGGGCCAAACAAAGAATCGGATAATTCCAGGGAAATGAGGATGACATGATTTCCATCAGGGAACACTTTGAAGTCATGTGAAACAGAACTGAAAGACTAGCAAATGTGGAAAGAGCACTTAAGTGCAGAATAGAAATCAGTTTGCTTCTATTCTTGTGCAGAATCAGTTAAATATATGATAAAAAGGACGATATGGAACATTAAAATTAAAACTGTATCTATCACATTAATGATTTTACATGACTTAGATATAGAAGTGGAAGGCTGAAAATGAAATAAATTGAAATGAAATAAATTCTTAAATAAATTGTAATAATTTCCCAGTATTCAAAAGAATGCAGCAATGTCCAAGCATGATGTTCGGTTTTCAGTGCATTGATTATGATTGTTGGTTATTATTACTACCGTGTTTCTTATAAAATAAGGCTGGGTCTTTTTTTTTTGAGCCCTGGAAAAATGGCTAGGCCATCTTTTCGGGGGTGACTTAACCCCCCCCTTGCATCCTCGCCTTGAGCGCCCCGTGGGCAGCCATGCCTTGCCACCAGCCGCTCCTAACGGGCTATCATGGCGGAGTGCAGAGAGCTCCCTACTCCCACCAAGCACCTTTGCTGCAAACCCGAGACTTTCGGCACCCGCCGCTGCTGCTTCCTCCACTGCCATTGCTTTCCCTTCTGCCCATGCCACTGCTGCGTTTGGAGCTGCCACTTCCGCGTTTGGAGCTGCCACCATGTTTGGAGCCCCACTGCCATTTGGAGTGCCGCTGCCGCTCTAAACATGCTCCAAGCGGTGGCAGCGCTCAAAACATGGAAGTGGCACTCCAAATGCGGAAGCAGCAGCTCCAAATGCGGCAGCAGCACTCCAAATGCAGCAGCAGCACTCCAAACGGCGGCGACGCACCAATCACACTCAAACAGTAGCGGAGCTCCAAACATGGGAGCGGCAGCTCCAAACATGGAGGTGGCACGGGCAGAAGGAAAAGCCACGGCGGCAGAGGAAGCAGCAGTGGCAGGAGCCAAAAGTCTTGGGTCTGCAGCAAAGGTGCTTGGCAGGAGTAGGGAGCTCTCTGCACTTCACCATGATTGCCCGTTAGGAGCTGCTGGTGGCGAGGCATGGCTGCCCGCGGGGCGCTCCTAATGGCAAGTCCTTCGCCCCATTTTACATGTTTTCAAATAGGCCTATATTTGGGGAGAGGAGCTTAATTTCATTTTATGCCTAGAAAACAAGCTGGGTCTTCCTATTGGGGGGGGCGTATTGTTGGAGAAACACGGTACTGTTATCACTACTGTTGTTGTTACTGCTGTTGTTGTTAAAACTCATAGTTTGGATTTATTTTTATTATTTATTTGTACTTAATAGGGATTGAGTACTAAAATTTGGAGATTTCCAAGGATTGGCCATATGTTTTCCACCTGAAATAGAAATTTTAGAAATTGGATGGAAATTGGATGGATGGTAATAAGTTTTTCTCTTGCAATCTCCTACCTGCCCATTCCCTCAAAATCTGCTTCCATTTTAAAAGCCTACAAGTTGAAAATAAAGGATAAAACTACTCAATTTTACTAACACACATAAAAAGAACATATATTATAAGTGTTTCCAGAACTTACAAGTGAGCAGGAAAACATTTGCCAATTGCAGATCTGCTCTGATTGATAGTTTTGACAGATGGTTAGACTCATAGGTTTAGCCAACTGCCAGAACTCATTCCAGATCACTCCACGTTTTGTCAGGGCAAACCTGTAAATTTTATCAAGCGAAACAGGATCAACTGTTAGTAACAGTCTCACCTTGTCCTTACAACCCTGATCACCTTGTTGGGTTGTTTCCTCCTGCTGTAAAAATGTAGTGAAATAACTTGACTAAAACAGCATTTTCTTAAAACTGTTGTAAAACAATTCAGTCATTGTACTTCTCTGGCCTATTCCACTCCAAATATTAGATATAATAAATTATCTCTAATGAACATCACCTCAGTGTCCCTATGTGTTGCTAAAACTTTGACTAATCTTCCTGTGGGAGAGTTCAGTCTTCCAGAGACCAAAAAAAAAAAAAAAAAATCAGCTAGGAAATAACAGGAAGAACAAAATCAAAGATAGCAGTTGGTGATATTGGCAGTGAGGAAGGTGGATTCAAAACCCAAAATGGGCTTGAGATGCAAGGGCTATCCCTTTTGTCCATGCTTGTTAATGACATCACACATATGTACAAATGGGGAGAACTTGCATTGTAACAATGTGTCTTGACAGAAGAAATATTTGTAGCTCAGGGTTGGGAACTGTAGGAATCCTACAGTTGATGCTCTCTGAACTTGGTTGTTTTCTTGCAGGCATTTCATTACCAAACTAGGTAACTTCATCAGTGATAGTAAGAAGTGGGATTTGCTCTCATTTTATATGCTACTGAATTGTCCTGTCAATGTTGGTGGGAATGGTCTTAGTGGTTCCTTGATTAGGCTGCTATTTACTGTGACTTTGTTTGTCTGAGTTGCTGTTCCTTGATTGGGTTATTGTTTACTTCTTGATTGTTAAAGGTAAAGGTTCCCCTTGCACATATGTGCTAGTCATTTCCAGCTCTAGGGGGCAGTGCTCATCTCCATTACAAAGCTGAAGAGCCAGTGCTGTCCGCAGATGTCTCTGTGGTTATGTGGCCGGCATGACTAAATGCCAAAGGTGCATTCCCACCGAGGTGGTCCCTATTTTTCTACTTGCATTTTTACATGCTTTCGAACTGCTAGGTAGGCAGAAACTGGGACAAGTAATGGAAGCTCACTCTTGTTAGGAATATAAGTCACCTAACAGGTATTTGGGTTGGAAATATATAAACCAGGATAGACATTTTAATACTGTCTCTTTAAGAAAATGCAAAACTATAATTGGGTGTGTGTTCTCAAACGGCCATAAGATGGAGCCAGAAACCTGGGTTGTTTAGTCTTAGTCTCAGAAGAGAGTGTGTCTGAGTGAGTCTCTGTTTCCTTCTGTTGGAGAGTTTTGCTGTTCCTTCTGTTGGAGAGTTTTGCCGTTCCTTCTAATTGACTGATATTCCTGGATTTGATGTAAGTCTGATACTGAACTGTTTTTGACACTGGACTTTGTTACTGGATTATCCCTGGACTGAAAACTGACTGATTTAACCGTGAATGACTTTGGACTGCTTATTTTTGAACTTTGCTTAAACCTTTATGGAAAGTAAAAAACAACATTTACTGTACAGTGTATCTGTATGCTGTGTGTGTATTATTCAAACACTACTCTCAAATATGTGTCCCTGTATGCGCTCACTCTCCTAACGGGGAATTACCTCAACAACTCTGTTACGCAGCGCTAGGGATTTGAACTGCCAAACTGCCGACCTTGTTGGTTAATGTTAACTTTGGTGTTAATCTCTGCTCAAGTGGGCGTTGATTGCTAGTAAGAATGAATTTGAGGTTTTTAATTATCTCTTCAGAATGGCATGTAGATGTTGTTCAATTCTATATGCCTGTGGATAGTTGATTCATCAGCCACGTTTCCAGGAATTCTATGGTATGTGTTGTGACATTATAGAGCTTTCATCATGTCTTCTGACTGCTAGTTGGTATTCATAGATGCACTCTTCTAATCTGCTTTTTTTTGTCCTAGTGGCTGTTACACTCTATATATGTAGATGACTCCTGTTTTTTCTTCTGGGTCTGATGGCCCTTTTGGTTTACTTAGGATGTTTTGAAGAACTTTAGTTGGTGCTCTCTGAACTTGGTTGTTTCTTGCAGACATTTCATTACCAAACTAGGTAACATCATCAGTGCTAGTAAGGAATGGGATTTGCTCTCATTTTATATGCTACTGAATTGTGCTGTCCCCTACTTTACAAAATACATTAAATGCACTTCAAAATTTTCACAGAAATAATCATTCTGTGATTATTTTAGGAGACCTAAGACATTTTCATTGAACTCCTGGCTCCCATGAGCCACAAAATACCTTGCATAATAGGATATACAAATACAATTCATTTTTCCTTCTCTTGTGATTAGAACTGTGATGACCTCATTATACAGTTCAGTGAAGCCAGAAGAAGTTCTCCATTCCTTTGTGAAAGGCCCTTGCTTCAATAACTTAAAAAAGGAATTGCTTTGGTTTTTAATGAACTGTAATTGTAAGGGCTAAGGGTACAGGACTGAGGCTGGGGAGACATGAACCAGCAGTTTTTAGAAAATGTAGGCATATTTCAGTTGCTTCCTAAATCCAACAAGCAACTTGCCAAGTATCCATTAGTTTGAACAGGTAGGAGGAGAAATCCTTTTGTTTAAACTCTGGAGAATAATATGAGAAAGAAAGGAGAGAAAGATAGAGAGAGACTCAGCAATCAACTGCTGTGTTTGAGGCTTTATTCTTGTCTATGATAAAGATGTCATTCTAGCTGAGACATTCTTCAAATCCAGCCAGCAGCTGAATTTAGGATTAAGTGTCTAGAGACCTGTGATTTACTGCTGAGTCCTGGTGTGAAGCCTGACACCATGCTTAGCAATCTGAACATATTAATAAAGCTTTACCTTGTATCACACTGATATTTTCCCAGATTCCCTACCCACTTCCAATCTCTCTTCCTCATATTCCCTTGGATGAGTTGTTCAGAGGTAGCATAGGATTTTTAGATTACTTTGGATTTTAAGAGCAAATAAAACTGGACACATTTTCTTAAAAATATAGAAGATGGGCCATGTTTAATCTGCTAAAATATAGTAGGCAGACTGCCTTAATACGATCTTAAACAGTAACTTTGTGAAGTACTACTGTGGAAAACACTATTCAAAATAGACCAAAGATGAACAAGATTTAAGCAGGAAATCCTCTCAAAGTGTGATTTGGTGCTCATGCTGAGCTCACTATCAAATAACTATCTATGGCAAGGGTGTCAAACTTGCGGCCCACAGGCTGGATGTGTCACGTGCTGGCCCTGTCCCCGCCTGGTTTAGCAAAGGGGAAAAAAGTCCCGATATGTCATGTGATGCTGCTATGACACCGCGAGTTTGACACCCCTCATCAATGGCTTCTCTTCCTCTAGGTTGCACTTCTGGAAATAGCATATGCTTTCCCCCCCCCCCCTGGAACATATTAGGATGAGCAGTTTGGAATAGTGGTAAGAGAACCAGGCTAGGAGATTGTGAGTTCCAGTCCCATCTTAGGCACAAAGCCAGATCAATTGCTTTGGACTAGTCACTAGATCTCAGGCCTGGGAAGCCAGCAATGGCAAACACTTCGGAAAACTTGCCAAGAAAACTAAGTTAATTTAAGGGACAGATGCTGATTTTTTTTTTAACATCCCAGGGTCATTCAGTTGAAATTGCCACCTCCCCACCAATTGCTTTTTAAGATCTGCAGGAAAATCCCTTGGAAGAGGCCTCAGTTGCTTCACTAGATTGCAAGATGACAGGTCCTGTTGTTGTGTTCCCAGGCTAAGACACTTTGGTGAGAACTCCTTTTCCCATTTTCTTAGCATTTAAACTCTGTAGAGATGCCCCTCTTTCATCAAACTTTTAATTGTAACATGATTTTATTATGTATTTTAGCATTAGCTATAAAGTGATTTTAATTCTTTTGCCTACAAGCCACCTTGTTTTTTTGCCGAGGTATAAATGTTGCATATATAAGTCATGCATAGATATCCTACAGCTAAAGGCTAAACTTCATGACATCCAGTTTATTTTGGCAGATGGAGCTTTTTCATGCTTACTTTGACTTAAGTTATATTTTAGCTTTGTCTTGAAGTTTTCTAACATGCTGTAATTTGTCATCCTATATTCCTTCCCCTAGATTCTGCATGCATTTAAAGCAGTAACACCTCAACATTGTAGAAATAACTCTGACATTTCATGTCTTGGCACAAAGTTTAATTATATTTAGTGATGTAGCAGTCATCCTTCCTTAACTAGTAAAAAGAAAGGGAGAAATCTTTCTTTGAAACTTTCTTGGTGAAAAGGCAAGATATAAATAGAATAAAAATGAAATAAAAATGCAAATTTCTATGCTACTTGGCAAGATAAAAATCTCAAACTTTTTCCAACTTCCTTGTCAAAACTTCTCATGTGCAGTCAGAAGAAAGTTGATTGAAAAAATTATTACTTATTCTAATTTTTGAAAAGTATCCCACTAGAAAAAATTAGTGTACAACTTTTTGCTTATTTCTCTAGAAACTATGTTCCATGAGACTGGCTTCCTATATTTGATTAGCAAATAATTAACATTAGTCCAGGACCAGCATTACTTTATCAATAAGGCTAGCTCGACATTACTC